CCCGACCCCTGCTCAGTGGGGAGTCTGCTTCTCCCTCTCCCACTCCCCCTGCTTATGCCCGCTCTCTCTCTCTAATAAATAAATAAAATATTTTTAAAAAAAGAAAAAAGGAATTTTTTCTGCACAAAGACTGACTCCTGCTTTGCTGGCCATCCCTTGCCCACCCACGCGCTGCTTGTTTCCACAGCCGCTCTCCCTCGCCCCTCCAAGCACCAGAGAAGGAGAAAGAGAACCCAGCAGAGCTGGCCGAGAGGTGCCTTCGGGAACTGCTGGGCCGGGCCGCCTTCGGCAACATCAAAAATGCCATCAAGCCTGTTCTCATGTGAGTCCCCCCCACCCCCCTGCGCGCCAGCCCTCAGAGAACTGTTTCAGGTCCTGGCATCTTGCTGACTCGCGGAGAGGGGAAAGAGGTGTTATGGTAGCAGTGCTGTGTGCAAGATGGTCCCTTGTGTGTGCCCGTGTGACAGCAGAAGTTACCACACAGTGGCCGAGCGCGGTGTTGGGGAGAGGTGCTGGTAGGAGTTTCCCGGAAACCGGAGGAAGGTGCCCGGCTTCACTCCTGAGTCCACAGCTGCGGAACTCTGTTCTTGGCTTCCCTCCAGCTCCCGCAGCGGGACTGCCCCGGGGTCCCTCATCTCCTTCCCTCACTGCCACCTGGAAGCCCTTCCCCACCTGGGAGCTCTGCCAGGGGCTAGGTCTCTGGCAGGTCCCTCTCCCCGCAAGCTTGTCTCTCCTCCCTACCATCATTCTGCCTTTCCTAGCCATCCCCCCGTGTTTTCTCCCTCACAGCCACCTGGATAACCATTCTCTTTGGGAACCCAAGGTGTTCGCCATCCGTTGCTTTAAAATCATCATGTACTCAATTCAGGTACGGCGGCTCCCGGTGCAGCTTGTCCCCCTGGCCGAGGGCACCTCTGGGAGCAGGCCGGTGCGCTAAAGGAGAAAGCCGGCCGTCCTCTGTGACTTCCCCCAAGCCCCCAGGGGTCCCGACGTGCTGCTTCATCTAGCTGTGAGGAAGGGCAGGTTTTAGTTTTATTTCGGGTACAGCACAGATCAATACTTTATAAAATACAATTAAAAAGAATCCTTAGAGAAAGTAAATGAAAAACTCCTGCAAAACACAAGCCCACAGACCACACTCGGCTGCCACAGCCTCGGGACGTTGCTTACTAAGCACTTCCTCCGGATGTCTGTACTATCCCAGTGTAATCGGGCTACTGGACTAAACCCGGTGGCCTCTTGTGGCCCTTATCAGTATGACGTGGGACCCAGGAACAATGAAAAGAAAGACAGTATTTTCAAAATTGACTTTTGACCCATTTGAGGTGGAAGGGCCCAGGGCAACTCTGGAAATCGAGGTCGTCCCTGGGATGGGGCTCTGCTCGTGTGGGACCAAGGGGGAGGGACTGAGGAGAAGGAACCGGGGTACGTGGGCACCACCTCCAGTGGCCACCGGCCTCAGGACCTCACTTTGGTCCACGCTGGCCTTTGGGTCCCAGTGGAGGGCTGCCCCGGCGCAGAGGCCGTGTGGGGGTTGCTGTTTGGGGCCAGCACGTCTTCCTCCCCCCAGCCGCAGCACTCCCACCTGGTTATCCAGCAGCTCCTGAGCCACCTGGATGCCAACAGCCGCAGCGCGGCCACGGTGCGCGCGGGCATCGTGGAGGTCCTGTCGGAAGCTGCGGTCATTGCCGCCACCGGCTCTGTCGGTAAGGGGGCCCTGAGTGACAGCGTGGGGGCCCGGAAGCCTCCGAGGACAAAGCCCTGCCCTCGGCGGGAGGTTGCCTCCCCTGCCAGAAAAGGGCAAGGGAGCGCAGGGAGGGGGCAGAGGAAGCCCCTGGCTGGAATGCAAGACAGGGGAGAATGGGGGGGGGTGTCAGGCCTGGATTTCGGGTCTCCCCCCCTCCCCACACCCCACCCCCGCTGCGCTCAGGGCCCACGGTGCTGGAGATGTTCAACACTCTGCTGAGGCAGCTGCGGCTCAGCATCGACTACGCCCTGACCGGGAGCTACGACGGGGCCATCAGCCTGGGCACCAAGATCATCAAGGAGCACGAAGAGCGCATGTTCCAGGAGGCTGTCATCAAGACCATAGGTGGGACCCGGGGCGGGGCCTGGATGGGCGGGGCCCGGTGGTGGGGCGGGGCCGGGCGCGGCCGGGTCCGTCCGGGTTGGGTGGGGCAGGGGGCGACCTCCACCAGGACAGCGCCCGGGCGCTGTAAGGTCACCCGCTCGGACTGTGTTACTCGCGGACGTTGGAGGAAATGGAGTCAGTCCACGGCGCGCACAGCTCTCGGACTGGCCTGGGTCGGGCCTGACGGAGAGCGCAGAACGATGTCCGTGGGTGTCTCAGGCTGGACGTCGGATCAGAGGCTGAGAGCGTTGAACTCCTTCGGCACCCCAGCCTCCATCAGGCCTGTCTGATGCTTCCACGCTGGAGCGATG